TGTATACATCAGTAAAAAAAACAAAACACACATCCATATGAGGTTTTTACAAAGTTTTATTTGACCCGAATTAACATCTGCTTTACAATTAAAACTTCTGGAACTGTTTCTTGGTTCCTGCAGCTTTTGTTACTTTCAGGACATTGAATCGGACAGTTTTGCTTAGAGGACGACACTCTCCAACGGTGACAATATCCCCAATCTGAACATCCCTGTTGAGGAAAAAATAAATATAAAAGATACACTGAATGAAGGCGAGATAAAAATGTACACATTCATACTACGTTACCATGAAAATAAACATAAAAAGCATACTTTGCTACGGTCTAAAAAGTTATATGGCCAGTAGCAACCAATCTCGTGTTCTACCCTGCACTGTAAATGTAGCTGGGTACCGACTAGTTATAATTGATTTGTGTAGCCGCCATTTTTTCTAGTTTCCTGGATTTGGTATGCGGACATGCTGGGGGGGGCTTTAGCTGACATTGTGATGTGTGGGGCTTTTGGCGTGTCCCTGTGCCTTTGAGGAATGGCCTACCTGCACTTTATTTATCCTATGCTCCAAGATGGAGGCTCTCAGATTAGAGTTAGGATCACAGTACACAGAGGGGCCTTCACGAGTCAGTGTGGCTTCCACATATCTTACAGGTGTGCAACTAAAACCTGTTAGCTGGTAAGTGTGCTTGCTGGGATTTGTACAGAACACTGGCAATACTTATGACATTTTTATCAGTTAGTCCTAAATATTCAAACCCAATTCCGAAATCTAGTGGCCATCATTTAGAAGCCTAACACTCATTTTTAGACTTAAGTGCAAACTTTCTCCAAGTCAAATACCTGTGAGACACTTGAGATAAATGCGGCCATGTTTTGATTCCTGGGCAGTAATGTCAAATCATATTTAGCTTCAATGGGTGTGATACCATTGACCCCAGACTAGTATTACAGCCACGCTCAAAGTGACAGCTTCCGTCACAGGCTTCTTACAAAACTATTTTGCTGAGACCGGGAAAAATTTAGCACTGGAAGGATTGAGAAAAAAAAAAGAAAAAAACTCGCCAATCCCTGTTTAGTTCAGACACTTTCTGCCACTTCACTGATGCAGTCAAAATCTTCGGTTACAATGAAGTGGTGCAAAACACATGGAAGTACAAAGCCACTCGCTAGGTAGCAGACCGGCACTGTCTGCTCCTCTGCACGATTTAGGCAAAAAACGGGATCTTTGTTTTTGCCCATGCAACATTTCCTTTTAGTTCTCCGATTCCACCAAAAAATAGCTTCCTTCATTAAAATGGCTCTTCTCTGGTGTGTTCGCTTAAAGCGGACCTTTACACTCAAAAACAATTGCTACCAATGCATCCCTCTATGTATGATGAACAACAACATGGACATGTCAGGTATAAAATGATGCGATTATGAAATACTTTCACTGGCAGAGCCTTCAATTCCTGCCTTAAAAAGGGCAAAATGACTTCCGTTTGCCAAAGCAATGCACACTGGGATTGCCTTGTCATTGAAATGATGAAGTACCAAAAGCATTGCATTCTGGGAAAGTTACATCAGTAGAGCATTGCTGGGAAATCTCATGAGATCTCAGGGAAAATATGTGCATGTTCACATGTGCCAGAGTTTTATGAAGCAATAGATCTAGTAATCTACCCCAACAAACATAGCCACTCAGGGGTGTGGAATTCCTATCGCCCGACACCCGGGACATGCAGTTTCGGGCACGTCGTGTTTTTTTTATACTTAGCCCCGCTCCGGACAAGCAGAGCCGCCGCTCGGTTTCAAGTGATCTGATCACTTGTATGAAACGAGAGGCGGCGATTCTGTCCACACCGCCCCCCCCCCC